TCTTTCAATGTCTGTGTGTCTTCAGTCCCTTTATAAGAATTTAAGGGTGGGGGCGCCTGGTGGCTCAGTCAGTTAAGTGTCTGCCTTTGGCTCAGGTCATGATCTCAGGGTCCTGGGATTGAGGTACCCCCCGCTCTGCCCTGCATCCATCCAGCTCTCTGCTAGGCGGGAAGTCTGCTTCTTTCCCCTGACTCCCATGGTACTCTCTCTCTCTTTCTCTCAAGTAAATAAAATCTTTTTTTTTTTAAAGACCACTATTGCAGGAGTATTAAAACAGGTAAATAAAAATTCCTTTAACTGAAATGTGATGGTTGCATAACTTGGTAAACCTATTAAAAATAATTGAGTCATACACTTAAAATGGGTGAATTTTATGATAGGTAAATAAAATGTTATAGCATGCACATTAAAAATCCTCTTATCTTGCTTTCTTTCTGCCCATACAAATATAAATACACTATATGATCATCCTCTAATACTGATTTTAACTTTTTTCCACCTCACATATCCAGATATCAAGACCATCTTTACAGATCAAATACTTTTATACAGTATCATTTTAAAGGTTTAAATTGTTTTTAATTTTATATTATAATTTGTTTCACCAATGTTCATTCCTTGAACATTTTTGTAGCTACATTTTGATACAGATTTCCCTGGGTTAAGTTACTGGAAAAAATGTTACTGGATCAAAGGATATGATCATTTTAAGATTTTTCTTGCTTATAAACTGCCCTCTAGAAAAGCTGTACTAACTTGTACTCTTCCAAGTCATCCTTCTGTTCCTATTTCTCTCCCATCACAACTCAGTATTAGAATTTTGTAAAATCTCTACCATTTTGACAGGTGAAAATTGTATATTGTAATTAATTTCCATTTCATTTACTAATAAAATTGCTTTTTTGGTTATTTATTGGACATTTGTATTTGCATTTATATCTCTGTCATCTCCCCAAACACACTAGATATGTGTTATATGTCTTAGTAATTCATGAGATTTTCATACATTAAATAACACTTTGTCATACATGTTGTGAAGATTTTCCCCATTTTGTCTGTCTTTTATTCATGATTTTGTTTTTACAGAAGGAAGCATTAAATTATGTAGTCATATCTATTAGTCTGTTGCTTTGCCATTGGTACTATCCTTGATAAAGCTTTTCCTACTTCCAGATTAAATATTCACAGCATTTTTTAAAAATTTTTATTTATTTATGATAGTCACACACACACAGAGAGAGAGAGAGGCAGAGACACAGGCAGAGGGAGAAGCAGGCTCCATGCAGGGAGCCTGATGCGGGACTTGATCCTGGGTCTCCAGAATCATACCCTGCGCCAAAGGTAGGCACCAAACCACTGCGCCACCTAGGGATCCCATTCACAGCATTTCTTGTACTAATTTTATATTTTCTTTCCTTATACTTAAATATTTATCTGGATTTTATTTTGATATATGACATAAGATTAGGATCTAACTTAGTAGAAAGAACATTTTAATGGGGAAACAAGTTAGATCTTTACCATATTTGTTGTATATCTTCTAAGTACAGAAAACTGTGTTGTATATGTATTCTATAGTCATAAATATGACAGGAATAGTCTCTGCTCTTATGTAACTAAACTCAGAAAAGGCAGACATACAAGTTTGGTGAGTGAGTGCTTCAAAGAAGTGCTAAATTCTACGGTCGTATATAGTAGGTGGAATCTAATCAGTTATGCTGGCATCTATTGAACCATTGAAAGGAGACCTTTTGAAGTTGAAGGAGAATTAAAAAAAAAAAAAAGTAACAACAAACACATATTATCCCAGAGTATCTGTGGGTCAGAATCTGGGTGTGGTTGGGCACCTGGGTGGCTCAGAGGTTGAGTGTCTGCCTTTGGATCCCTGGATTCTGGGATCGAATCCTACATCAGGCTCCTCACAGGGAGCCTACTTCTCCGTCTGCCTATGTCTCTGCCTCTCTCTCTATGTGTCTCTCATAAGATAAAATCTTTTAAAAAGCCCCAAATTAAAAAAGAAAAATCTGGGTGTGGGTTAGCTGGGTCCTCTGTCTCAGGATCTCTCACAAGGATGGAACAAGGTGTTGGCCAGGGCTCCAGCTCCACTGGAATGCTTGACTGCAGGAAGATTCACATTCAAGTGTGCTTACATGGTTGTTGGCAGGATTTAGCTCCTTGTGGTACTTTTGAACCAAGGTTTTCAGTTCCTTGCTGAGGATTCAGTTCCTCAGCTGGCTGGAGACCTCCTTCAGTTTCCTGACATATAAGGCTAGGAGGGTTCAGTTTTGTCCTGGGGTGAGCACTTCAGCTTTGATAACCTGGTTTGTAAAGAGGTGTCTGTGTGGTGTAAAAATTAGCATGGCATTTGTATTCCTAACTTGTAACTGAGGACTAAAATGAATGTGAGCATATTGTGAATTTTCAGGTTGGTATACATTGGGTCTGTATATAAATTAATAGGTGAGTGAATTAAGCATTCACAAAGAATGAATTACATATTGAAGAGAACAAACATGTAATTCTGTATAGGATAGCAATGTCAGGAAAAGTTTATGATGACTAGAGTGAGTAGAAGTTGAAATGATTTATGAACTTGAGTTTCTCTTTCAACCACATCCTGGGTATAGCTTCACATTATTTTTCATTCTCTCCCTCCATTTCCATCACATAAACTGTACTGTGAATATACTCCCCTGGAGTTGTACAGTGTGGCAGCCCTGAACTCAGCCACACAGGCATGGATATAACCAGTTATTGGATTTTTTAAATCTACTGCTGTGCATTTTTTTTTAGCTCAGGAAATGTAATTTTAAAATTATATTTAATCTTTGGCAGATATTTACAAAAATTCTGAAAATAGAATTTGACTGCCAATCTTAGTCTTTGAAAGTGATAGTGTTAGCCTCATGCATACATCCTCAGCATGGCCAATATTGACCCTAAGGGGGCAAAAATTGGTTCTGGGTGTGTGTGTGTGTGTGTGTGTGTGTGTGTGTGTGTGTGAAAAAGGAATCTTTTTACGTATAAAGCACAGATATACAGTCTATCTGTGGTAGTAAAATTTCATAGGGGGTAAGTGACTAAGATGGAAAGGTTTAAAAACATTCCTTAGGAGCTGATAATGAAAAAAAGGTTGAGAAATATTACTCTTGTGTTAAGCTTAAAAGACAGCTGGTAGATGAGCTGTCTTGCAATAGATTATTTCCTGTATCACTTCCTGTATTAGAATGTAAGTTTCTTAAGCGTAGGATGTATAACCTGTTTTGTATTTTCAATAACACCTACTACAACAGTTTATTTTCAGTTGCATTCAGTAAATGTATACTTAATTAATTAATATGGAACACATCTTACCCTCCTTGTACCCAATCTCCTGCCCCATAAAACCTAAATACAATAATCAAAATTAGTTTAGTAAAAGCAAGCAACATAATATACTCTCCCTCACAAAAATCCTAGGAAAATAAAATTATTATTATTATTAATTATTAAAAGAGTGAAAAATCTTAGCATAGCAGAAGCACAGACTCTGGAAACAGAAAGACAAATCAGGACTTGATTTCTAGCTCTACCATTTGAAAGTTGCGGAGTCTTTAGCGAAGTTACCTGAGGAGGAAGGAGAAAGAGGACCAAAAAGAATGGGAGAAGGGAAATAAATATAGAAAGAGTACAGAGATGGGTCGCCTGGGTGGCTCAGTGGTTAAGCGTGCCTTTGGCCCAGGGCGTGATCCAAGATCCAGGATCGAGTCCCACATAAGGCTCCTGGCAGGGAGCCTGCTTCTCCCTCGGCCTGTGTCTCTGCCTCTCTCTCTCTCTTTCTCTCTCTGTCTCTCATGGATAAATAAAATCTTTATTTTTTTTTTAAATAAAATCTTTAAAGAAAGAGTACAGAGAAGAGACAAGGGCATTGCTGAAAGTCTTATATACACCCCAAATTGTAGGTATATTGACCTGCTGGCAGTTCCCCAAACAGGTCATGGCTCCAATATGCCATATTCTTTCACACTGATATATACATACATACTCCTTATTTCCAGAACATTATTTTTCCATCAATATTCAGCTCAAGCCACACCCTCCTTAGAAGGCCCTCCATGACACCCTTGTCTGCCTCCTACACTGAGATGCCTATCTTCTTGCTCCCCTAACATTCAGAACATACCTTATTATGATGTTTATCATATTGTAATGTAATTAATGTTTTACATGTCTGTTTCCCTCACTAGTCTGTGAACATCTCGGGAAATGGTTTTATCTTCTTATTCTCAAATCTAGCACAGTGCCTAACATATTTGGTGAATGAACAATGGGCTTGTTGAATTAACTAGTAAAAATACAGGCATGCAAGAGGAGCACAGCAACATTTTCAGCAATTTGATATATAAGGGCCTGTACTCTTCAAAGCCATTGCTTTACAATTGAATAAATTCTACTTCAGAAACCAATATTGCATTGTATGTTCATTAACTAAAATTTAAATTAAAAAAAATACAATTGACTGGATAATTATCTTTGTATACATTCTCAGGTCTAAAAGAAAACATTTTCTCTGTCCAGTAATGATAAATGCAACGAGTATTTCACATTGTCAGTTGATACAATCCAAAGAGGAAAATCTTACTGTTATTCCTTTTTTTAGATGGGGAAACAGGCTCTTAAGTGGTTATGTAACTTGCCTAAGATCATATACTTCATAAGCGAGGATCTTGTTCTGGAGCCTCTCTATAATCAATCACACTATAGTGCCTCTCAAAATTAGCCAGGTGAGACTATTCACTTCAGTACAACATTGTTCCGTCCGACCCTTTCCACCTGCAACCTCCTACACACACTCACCTAGAAGAAAACAAAGGCTCATGATCATACATGTACTTCGTTATTGTTCAGCCAAAAAATGTGTCTGCATATACCTGGCTTTGCTTAATGTAAAAAAATACCAGCTAATAACCATGAAATAACCCTTTGGGACTATTCTCTTTTAACATTTAGACAGAATGTAATGATTTTAATTATTTTATTGACCTTTCACATTCTTTAAGATGGGAATTCTGTTCATTGCTTCAGCATCTGAGTGTGTTAAACCACACATGCAGCAATTTTCGTAAAAGCAAAATGTGAAGCAGTGTATAAAGACTCCTGGATGAGAAGTCATGTACCACAAGCTCCCCATTACTTCCTTATTGGTGATGTCTGTGAGGGTATGGTTGGGAAGAAAGAATTGACAAACCGGTTTCTGCCACATTGTGAAATAACCATAAGGAGTGGCATCTGGTTCCTGGAGCTAGAAGAGGTGACTATGCCTTTTAAATCATGGTTACTGTCTCAACACAATAGATGAAAACAAAAACAAAAACAAAAAAAACAAAAACAAACCAAGAGGGGAAACCCCCACACATGAAAAAGTTTTAAAACTGAAAAGCTTTTTCATTTCTGAAAGCTTTGGGGTCAGGTGGGCCTCTCAGGTGCCACTGTTCTGGGGTACCCTCGGTCACTCCGATCTTCAGGTCCTTGAGGCATTTCCATTTCCCTTTTGCTCCCTGCTGCAGTCCTTTACCAATTCATAACCTGGCTGCATTGTATCAGTTGCATCCAATCTGCTGACTGCCAACAGCAATCCTCTTTTGCCATGAAGTGTGAGAAGCTAAGCTACTTCTGGGGATGTGAGAGGTGATGTGGGCATTTGCCCTGGAGAAACTCTAGATCAGCAGAGCTGTGGAAGACATGCACGTGGGCCCCCTCCTCCTCTTCCAAACAACTTTCATGTTTTCATGGAGACCTGGAAGAATGAACAGATAAGAACATCAACATTGACATAACATCGACAAGATTCAACACATTTGCGGTAAGAAGACAGTAAATGTCTATTGGTCTACAGCTTTGGTTTATATTAATTCATTCCAACATTATAAAAAACCTGGAAGTTTATTAGGAATGGGAGCTAAATTAAAAAAAAAAAAAAGGAATGGGAGCTAAATAGACTACTTGTGTTCTAGGCATCAAGTGCCTAGTTTGGAATGACTTGGAAAAAAAAATCCACAGTCTCTCAGCATGTGGATTAGGTGCTGGTAAAGACCGGCTAGAAGGATGTCAGGCAGAGGGAACAGGAAATGCAAAGGCATAAAGGTATGAGAAAGTCTGGCATACAGTGCTTTCTTAGAACTCCCCAGTCTAGGACGTTTGTCTCCTTTAAACAAACCCCTTTAGCTTTTACCACCTGTACCATTCTTCTTGGCTTGTGATTTCTTGTTGATGCAGTTACCATTTTTTATGGCTAACATTTTCATTTAAGTCTCTTCTCCCTAAGTAATTTGATTTCTTAGGTGGCAGCCTTCCTTCCTTCCTTCCCTTCCTTCCTTCCTTCCTTCCTTCCTTCCTTCCTTCCTTCCTTCCTTCCTTCCTTCCTTCCTTCCTTTCTTTTCTTTCTTTTTTTTTTATCTCTCCTGAATGCCATTGAAAGGTGCTTTGCACTTGGTAAACACTAATAAATATTGATTCGTTGACCAAAAGAAAGTCATGACTTAGATATTTTAAGTTTTCATTAAAAACGCTAAGATTGGGATCCCTGGGTGGCGCAGCGGTTTGGCGCCTGCCTTTGGCCCAGGGCGCGATCCTGGAGACCCAGGATCGAATCCCACATCGGGCTCCCGGTGCATGGAGCCTGCTTCTCCCTCTGCCTATGTCTCTGCCTCTCTCTCTCTCTCTCTCTCTCTCTCTCTCTCTCTGTGTGTGTGACTATCATAAATAAATAAAAATTAAAAAAAAGAAAAAAAAATAAAAACGCTAAGATTGTATCTACAAGAATAAAGCAGGACTATGTAAACAGAGGATAACACATTTACTCATTCGCTATTCTATTTTTATGACCTATTTCCAAGTAGGAACAAACATTGCATACAGTCAACATTTATGCTGCCAATCTGGATAACTGTAGGCTTAATAGCAGTTATTCCATTATAACAAATACAGAGGTGCGTTTTAGAACAGGAATAAGACCTGATTACAATTACAGAATTGCATGGTAAAAATAGTGGACTTCCACTCTGAAAATCTGGACGAATCAAAACTCTGCATCCATTGTGAACTTTATTTTTATTATTTTTCATCTTTGAGCCTTTTCCCTTATTAAACAAAGTTAAGAATTCCAACTTCACAAGATCTTAAGGAGTAAATGAAAAACATATACATACCTACTCTGGCACAGAGATGCAATAATATGTTTGTTCACTTTCTGCCCATTATTTGTCCATTTATTCAAATACATCCATAAGCCAACACAACAAACTACAAATAATGCAAACCACTGAGCATTTCTTTTGAAAACTTATGTTATAAACCCACTTTTTTTTTCAAGTGGCTAAGTCATCAGGACAAACATGCTTCCTTTTGGGGGGATGATCATTTGCTATTTTTTGCTGGAGTATAGGTACACATTTAGGCCAAATTAACATGTCTTGCAATTACAGGGAACACAGACACTATGGTACATTTTGTACATTTGTCTACTTGCATGAGGGCATGTATTCTGCTTCTAGTTCCAGCATTTTCTTACCACCTGTTGTAGATAATTACTTTCAAAAAATCTTAAGTTTAATAATAAGTCCTTAGACCCTGTATTCTGGAAGAAAGATAAGGTAGAGAAAGGGTTGCAGTCAGGAATCTCAGGTTCTGTTTCGGTCATTAATATCTCTACCAGACTTCTAATGAAGCATATAACCTCAGTTTCTCTAAGCCTTGTTTCTATCAAAAAGAACTGGTATGATATGGGGCACCTGAGTGACTCAGTTGTTTAAGCATCTGCCTTCAGCTCAGGTCACGATCCCAGCATCCTGGGATTGAGTCCCATGTCCGGCTTTCCTGTTCAACGAGGAGCCTGCTTCTCCCTCTGCTCCTCTCTCTGCTTGTGTGCTCTCTCTCTCTCAAATAAATAAATAAAATCTTAAAAAAAAAAAAGAAATAATGGGTTGCCTGGGTGGCTCAGTTGGTTGGGTGTCTGCCTTTGGCTGGGGCCATGGTCCTGGAGTCCTGGGATTGAGCCCTGCTTTGGGCTCCCTGCTCAGCAAGGAATCTGTTTCTCCATCTGCCCTTCACCTCGCTTTTGGTGTCTCTCTCTGAGATAAATAAATAAATTTAAAAATCATTTATTTATATATATATTTTTAAGATTTTATTTATTTATTCATGAGAGGTACACAGAGAGAGAGGCAGAGACATAGGCAGAGGGAGAAGCAGGCTCCTTGCAGGGAGCCCGATTTGGGATTCGATCCCAGGATCACGCCCTGAGCCAAAGGCAGAGATGCTCAACCGCTGAGCCAGCCAGGTGTCCCATAAATAAGATCTTAATAAAAAAAAACTGGTATAAGATCTACCTCTCAACAATGATGTAATGCTTAGCTGTGACTTATTAATAAGTACACAGACAAGATGTTTTTAAAGAAATCTAAAGTACTCAATTAGTTTATTAGTATCTCTCTGCACTTTTGCTAAAATTTAATCTTGAATTTATATTAAAATTAAAACTTATTTTTTTTTTTTTACCTCCTGCCTGGTAAAACACAAGGAAAACAAACATTTTTTTTAAATGCAAAAAATGCTGCATTAAAACAAATTTTATAAACAACATGACAAAAAGTAATTTCTTTCCATTTAGTTCTGGAAATAGTGTTTTAATTATATTATGGAAAAATTTTTGGTGAGGTGCCAAGTAAGGTGACCAATCATCCCAGTTTGCTTTAGATTTCCCATTTTTAGCACTGAAAATTCCACATCCCAGGAAACCCCTGTTCTGTACCAGCTGGGATTGGTTCACCCTAGTTCTCTGTCATTAGTAGAGGCCATAGCTTATAGCTCTGTATATCTGCCCTTAGAAAAATTCCAGGACTATTTTAATTTCTATGTATCTAAAAAGCATTTTCATATTCTATTTGAATTTAATTCAATACCATTTGGTGAGCATATTTATGGAGTTTTGCTCTGTCAGTGGATATTTAATAAATGTATACTAATATCTTTTTTTTTTTATATACTCATATCTTTTGACCTTATCAGGACAAGGGGGTAATGGGAATACTTAATTAACAATAGCAATTCTTTTGGCATCGAGAAAATACTAACTTGTCTGTTCTTTTTTCAAGGACCTTTTCCTGCTATTTACAGATTAGTGTACTTCTACTTGGTAAACACCATAGCTGAGAAAGCAGTACCCCAGCGAACACTTTTTTTTTTTTTTTGCAAATACCTTTAAGATCAAGTCATTTTAAAAAAAAACATTGTATGTGGGTCATCTCTTGGACAATTTGGGGCCAGAGAGAAGTTGTTACACTGGTTTCCTTAAATAGCACTACAACCTAACCTGATTCCAAGATAATTTCCAAAATATCAATGGAATGAGTGTTGCTGATAATCTCGTTATGAAGGTTTATCCATGAGTAAGAGGCCCCAAGATTCAGAAGCCTATGACGTTGCCCATGATATTGATCAAAAAAGAAGTTATGCGGCTATGGAAAAGATTTCTGAGAAAAAAGCCGACCAATATTCTTTCTTAGAAAATGAGGATGATTGAGGACATGTGCCTATTTACATAATTCAAAAAAAATCAATTAAAAGGTTATAAATCCAACTTGGCTATAGTTTTCCTGCAAGGTGCAAGGTGATTATGACACTTTTTTAAAGTTCTAATTTTGTGAGCACTTAATATTTGTCAAGTGCTTTAAATGCATTATTCATTTGATACTCACAAATAATCTTATGAGAATAGGAATCATAATCCTCCACAGTCAAGCTCAGAGAGGTTCAGTAATTTGGTTAAGGTTATAGACAGCAAGGGAGGGGCACAGGCAAATTTAGGTCTGTTTCCTCCAAAGCCTAAATAAACTCTTAACCTTTAGCCTATGCTGCTTGTCAACATTGTTGACATAAACTCTGAAAATTCTATCTTCAGCCCTACCTCCCCTGACCTTCTGTCTTGTACACTAGTAGATATAACTGCTTATTCAATGTCTCTATGTGCCTAACAAGCACTTCAAATTTAACGTTTCAGTAAATGGCACCTCCATTCACCCAGTTCCTCAAGCCCCAGACCTAATAGGCATCCTTGATTCCTCTCTCAACCCCACAGTCAAGCCATCAACAAGTCTATTTGCTTTACTTTCAAATTATACCTGAAACTACTTCTCATCATCTCTACTGTCACAACTCTGGTCCAAGCCATTATTATTACTCACCTGGACTACTGAGATAGTCTCATAATTGGTCTCTGCTTTCATAGCCCATTCTCCACAAGGCAGCCATGGTTCTTATTTTCTTCTGGCCATAGTTATTTTTTAAAATGTGTATTATATTGTGTCATTCTTCTGTTTAAAACCTGTTAAAGTTAAAACCCGTTAATAATGCCTCCCTTTAGGCAGCCCAGGTGGCTCAGAGGTTTGGCCCCTGCCTTCAGCCCAGGGCCTGATCCTGGAGACCGGGGATCAAGTCCCACGTCAGGCCCCCTGCATGGAGCCTGCTTCTCCCTCTGTCCATGTCTCTGCCTCTCTCTCTGTGTCTCTCTCATGAATAAATAAATAAAATCTTAAAAAAATAATGCCTCCCTTTGCAATAATGTAAACTTCTCTTTTACCCCCTGCCTTCATAGGCCTTCTCTGACTTTATCATTTAACTCTTTTTTTGCTCAGCATGCTTGTCACATTGATCCTTATGATTTCTCTGTGATGTAAAGTTATCTACTTCGAGAGGATTTGGAAGGACAGCAGTGAGGGTTTGAGAAAACTGGTGAATGTTTGCAAGTTGTCTAGAGAGGGAGGACAATTCAAAAAAAATTTAACAGGATTGCTAAATGGTGTTGATGGTTCAGTTGTGCTGGATGATTGGAATTTAATGATAAAATATGTAATTATGCAAATTTCTCCAGTAGTGGTCAGCTGCTCCAGTACCAAAGGGAACTATAAGGATGGTAGGATTCATCCAAGGTAGGGTAAGATGAAAAGAAAAATGGGGCAGAAGAGTTGAGGGTACTGACAAGTGTCACTAAACTTCCCCCCCTACACATATAACAATGTGGATGGGGTAGAGAGAAGGGTTGCTAGTGTCCTCAGCTTACTCCAGCTGTGGCAACAACCTGGATTTGCTAAGTAGAAACAGAATCAAAGGACCAAGACCTACCAGCACTGATGTTAAAAGCTTTAAATTACAAATCCTGATTATTTTAGGAAATCTGAATAAACATTTACAAAATGGACAAATTAGTAGAAGCTTATTTACATTTTAAAGGAATTTTTCAACTTAAAAAAATCAATTTCCAAAGGGTATCTTTCGTTTTAACAATAAGATTTATCAGTGAGTTAGGGACTCAGGTTTGGTTTGTTTTTTTTTTTTTTTTTTAAAGATTTTATTTTTTTTATTCGTGAGAGACACACAGAGACTGGGGTGTGTCTCTGTGGGACACACCGGGGATCCGGGGACCCCGGGGTCACGCCCTGAGCTGAAGGCAGGCGCCAAACCGCTGAGCCACCCAGGTGTCCAGGGATTCAGATTTTTAAAAATGTCCAGTCTGCCCAATCATTGAGAGTATCGCAAGAGAGTGCTTTCTCAGGCCTCTTCCTCCTTCAGGACACTTCTCTGGTTCTCCTGTCTTTCTTACAAAGATTTAAGTCCACTCTTAGAATTGCATAAAACACTCTTACTGGGATCCCTGGGTGGCTCAGCGTTTTGGAGACCCAGGATCGAGTCCCACGTCGGGCTCCCTGCATGGAGCCTGCTTCTCCCTCTGCCTGTGTCTCTGCCTCTCTCTCTCTCTCTCTCCCTCTCTGTGTCTATCATGAATGAATAAATAAAATCTTTATTTAAATTTGTTTTAAATAAATAAAATCTTAAAAAGAAAAAAACAACAAACCATTCTTACTGTGCTGGTCCCTAACTTGCCTGTTGTTTTCCCATTTACCCCCCTCCCTGCAACGAAACTACATTACCCCTGCTGTGCTTTTGCTTCTGTTATTCTCTCAGGCCAGATCCTCCTCCTACCTCCCCTGTTAAACTCCTGGCCACCACCTTTCTAGATAAGAGACCAGCACTGCCTCGCTGCTGCATTTGGTCCGTGTAGTTACTTCCATTCCTGCTTGTCTTGGGTTACATTGCGATGCATTTTATACACTGTGTAGCACCTGGTCTGTATCATGCATTATAAAGCGTTTCCACGACTGATGTTTTAGGTCACCCCGCCGCTGAAGCAGGGCGCGTTCCGTGGCCTCGGTCAAGCCCCTTTCCCTCTGGAGCCTCAGACACGCGAGGGCCGCGTCCTGTGGCTCCGCGAAGAAGGGAGAGGGAATGGCTGAGCCCTCGCACCGCGCTCGGTTAAGGAAAGCCCCGGTTGTTTACACCGTTTAGAGTACTGGATAGGCAGGTGCCTACCGAGATGAGGTCAGGAAACCCTCCTCTGGGATGACGTCATTGGTAGCGACTTCAGAACCCCCGCTCGCTCATCCGTACCGGTGCACGGAAGCAGAACTACTCAGAAAAGGGGGGGGGGAGTGGGGTGGGGGTTCACCTGTCCCAGGTCACAGGTTGCGCACGAAACCGATTTCCATTTAGCAGCTCGGGCAACAGCAATTTTAGCTCAACAGCCGCGGACTTCCCCGAATGACTCCGGGGGGGCGGGGGGGCGGGGGGCGGGCAGCGTCTACCGCGCGGCTGGATTCAGCGAGGGGGGCTGGATCCCTCCCGCCTGCGGCAAAACCCGCCACCCGGCCCGGGGGCCTTCTCAGGAGCACGCCCCGCCCAAGGGGCGGCCGCGGCCGGAACCGGGCCGGCGATTCCCGCGGCGCCGCGCTCCCGGGGCCAGGCCGGGCCGTGGGGTCTCCCCGCTCGCCACGCAGGGGCGGCGGGGCGGGGCGCAGTGACGCCAAGAGGAGTGACGCGACGACGCAGCGCGACGCGGTGACGCACGCCCCTTTGTTGGCTCAGTAGCGGTAGCAGCGGCCGTGGAGGTGGCGCTGGGGACTGTTTTCTCTCGGAGGCCGAAGCGGAGCCGCGTCTGACTGAGGCGGGCGGCGAGCAGCCCCCTCGCTCCGTCCCTCCCGCCTCCGCGCCCTCCCCGCCGCCGCCGCCGCCGCCGCCCGCCGCCCGCCGCCGCGCCCGGGGAGGAGCCGCGGCCCGCGGGGCCGGAGCCAGGCCTGCGTCCGGACCTCAGCCGGAGCCGGAGCGAGAGCCGGGGCCTCGGCGTCCCCGCCCTCTCCCCGCCTCAGGGCCGCGTCCGCCGGGCCCTCGCGCGTCGCGCCATGGACTCGGACGAGGGCTACAACTACGAGTTCGACGAGGACGAGGAGTGCAGCGAGGAGGACAGCGGCGCCGAGGAGGAGGAGGACGAGGACGACGATGAGCCGGACGACGACAACCTGGACCTGGGCGAGGTGGAGCTGGTGGAGCCCGGGCTGGGCGTCGGCGGGGAGCGGGACGGACTGCTGTGCGGGGAGACGGGCGGCGGCGGCGGCGGCAGCGCGCTGGGGCCCGGCGGCGGCGGCGGCGGCGGCGGCGGCGGGCCGGGGCACGAGCAGGAGGAGGACTACCGCTACGAGGTGCTCACGGCCGAGCAGATTCTGCAGCACATGGTGGAATGTATCCGGGAGGTCAACGAGGTCATCCAGGTGAGGGTGCCCGCCGCGCTGGCTTGACCCGACCGGGGAGCGGACCCGGCGGCCCGCGGGGCAGGCCCGGGCCTGGTGCGCAGCCCAGCCCGCCGCCTCCCGGGCCTGTCTCCCCCGCCGCCTCTGCTGGGCACGGAGGGTGTCGAAAGCAGACATTCGCCGGTTCGCCGGGCGTGGGGAGGTGCGCTGGGGGCGGCGCTTTCCGGGTCCTGCGATGGCGGAGGCCTCGGGCCGCCCAGCCCTCGTCCTGCGGGCTGGAGGGCGATCCCTGCGGGTCCCCGGGCCCGGTGTCCTTCCCCCGGCCGGAGGAGCGCCCACAGGGGCGGGGCGGGGCGGGCCGGGCCGGAGGGCGGGGGTGGGGGAGAGCAGGAAAACGCGGCCCCTACGGGGGTTACCCCGGCCTTCCAAGTCTCGCTTGAGCACTTTTGGAAGGGGTTGGAGTAGGCCTAAGAGCCGCCTGGTGTACGGTTGCCCCAAGTGGGCATCAGTTAATAAAGAAATGGATCTGCTTGGCAGTCTTAAGTGCCTACTTAAAGGTGGGGGAAGGGAACTGTTTCTCGGAAGAGGTGCTGATGGGCCTTCTTTTACGATGGTGAGGCTTCTGCTCTCCTCTTTTTTTTTTTTTTTTTAATGCCTTCGCTGTTTGGGACCTAATGCTACTTTTTCCAGGGGTAGCGTATCACTTACTCGAAGCCATCGGGAGAGTCCCTGCAGATTGCATACCCAGCCTTGCGGCTAAAACAAAACGCAGCGTACTGTCTGATATTAGGCTCTTTTGTGAGTTAGAGAGTAGGGGCTTTCTGCTTCTGAACTCCTTTCTTGATAATTTTTTTTTTTTCAAATTTCTTGGAGAGTTAGGCTTGGTTCAAGTTGATGACCACAACTCACGTAACATCGTGAGTCCGGTTTTGCATTTCTCAGCTTGAGGAAGTCCAAAGTTTACATTTGGTTGGGGGGTTTGGGGGAGGAAACCAGTTATGATGAGGGATACAACTGTAGAATAAAAATGACGTCTTGATTCAGTGCAACTTTTAGAAAACACTAGTTACATGTGAGGAAACTATATACAGAAGCAAGTTACTATTAGCTTCTTGTATGTCAGTCATTCCTTTTTTTTTTTTTTCCCTTAAAAATCAGTTGGCTAATATTCACTGGCAAATTGGCAGTAGTATGTCACTGCCTACTTGTTCAGTTGGGATGATTAACAGATTTTTACAGTATTTTCTAGTAAGCAGCACTTCCAATTGTGCCATCTATTTAGGCTCCTCTGAATAATAGTAAAAAAAAAAGTAAATAGTAAATAATAGTAAAAAAAAAAAAAACCACAACCCTGTGATATATAGTGGTACTAGTAGACCGTGGACGTCTCAAACTTTCATATGGATACTGCAGTCTGAGGAGGAAATTGAAGGGACATAGAAGGAAGATTAAGTTTATTCTTTTTTTTGGATTCTAAAAATATGATAGTTCTTAGGCCACTAAGTTGAGACTTTTTTTTGAGGAAACTTTATTAAAAGAATTGAGAGTAAAACCTTGAATTCTCTTTCCGTTTATTTACCACTACAGTATGTAAAATCTGACCTTTTCACACTTACCTAGTTTTTTGACATGTTAATTAGGTTTTTAAAAATTCGTGGATAATGAATTTATTTGACTTACTGTTTGTTTTCATGTAGTAAATCTCATCCAACTTTCTCAGCTCTTAGGTGTATCTTAAGCACTGAGGCTAAAGCTTAAAATTCCTTATGTCACTTCTGGAACGGAGATGTAGCTAATGCATATGACATCATTCTTTCTTTGTTAGTTTAGAGGAGAGAGAATAAATGCAGATGAACTGAACTATTTAAGAACCACAGAATACCAGGGGTTTATTTAGGTGTCCATGCCGGATTTTTGAAAACTGTCTTTTTTCTAGCTGACTTCTTGTTAAGGATGCTCTTAAATGGAATTCCTGAATATATAAATATTTATTCCTTGTTAAGTTTTCTATTTCGAAGTATCAGTAAATCCAAGAATAGGATTTATCCCAGGTCACTTTTTTCCAAATGGTGTGCTTACTAGATCTAAACTAGGCCTTGGTTATGGTATGGTTTTTTTATGTGTGTAGATTTAAGCTTCAAAAGTGGCACTGAAAAAAAAAAGTGGCACTGGTAATACATGCATACTGTAAGAAAAAACTGACTAGGCAAGAAAAAAAAAAAAAAAGAGATCGACACCAAGAGAGATACACAAAATTTGAGCTGTAGTTTTCTTTCTAGACCTCTGGGTGAGCTATACATATATTTTAATAACGACAGGATCATACTATATATATTCTCTTTTATGTTTTCAGTAGAAAAAAACATTACAAGAACAGAAGGAATCTCAACTTTTCTTGTTAATAACTCTTTCCATTTCCAGTGTTTACAGGATTATAAATCTAAACTATTTAATCCATTATTATTGCCCTCCCCCCTTTTTTTCTAGTTTCTGGCTTTTATAAACTTCATTGGGAATATCCTCATAGATCTTTGAATGTTTTATTTATTTTTTTTTTTAGGATAAATTGAGTTGCTGAGTGAAATGATGTGCTTTTTTCGAGGCATTTGATATATATGACCTACGACATTGCTTTCAGAAAGGTTATATTTTCCCTCACCCATCAGTGCTTGATTGGGATAATACAATCATTTCAAAATTGATTCTTAAAAGATGAGGCAGAACTTTTAACATGTTTCTTGGATGTTGGTATTTCTTTTATAAATTGCCCTTTGATTTTGCTCATTTTGCGACCTTTTCGGGATTTTTATCTATTAAAAGACCCCCTTAGTGTTGAGGTTTTAAATATCAGTTGTCTAGGTTTTTCAATGAAAAAAACTTAATATTTGTTTAATGTGGTAGTAAGTTTTATCACATTAAAAACCCTTGCTTTACTTCACATTAGAGAGCTCTTTGTTAATTCTAAAAAACTTAAATCTCCTGCTCCCCAGTGCTGCCATTCTGTATGAAATCAAGTGTGTTATTAGTGAATTTGAAAATGAATTTGCGGGAGAAAAAAGATCGAAATGTGAAAAGATTGCCAGATTAGTTTTTCTTTGGGAAGTTGATGACTACTTTGGGGAGAGTAGATCTGGGCAACACTAGATTGATACTGTTATCTGTAGTTGTCTGCAGGTTAGTTTTAGCCTTCAAATGAGTTAACACTTTTTCTTTTAGAAGACTCTTGGTTTTCTAGCTTTCTATAACTCTCTTTTTATAGTTTGTTTAATTTGGTCTTGTTATATTTAAATCCTTGTGGCTACCTAGATTATCTTGTGAATTTTCAAGAAAAGGTCGGGGATTTTCTTTAACCTACACCAGTGTTAGAGACATACTTAAAGTCCTTACTGTACCACCACTATTTACTTAACTCGTATTATTAAACAGTGGCTTTCTAATGTAATTGCCTTAGTAGCTCAGGAATTTATTAAACACTACCCAATTCTGCAATTGAGGGGCATCTAAACTTGCTATTTTGTGTTTCTACAACATTACTCAACAAGTGCTGGTTGTGCTCTTGTATGTATGCCAGTCACCATGTTAAGTAGATAGAGGGCATGGTTCTTGCCTAAGGAGCATATACAGGTGGGGAACATAGAGGTCCTTGGGCTTCGTTCCCAGAGATTGTTGTTCATTAGTTAAGTCTGTGTTGGAGCCTGAGCATTTATATATTTTTAGCCATTGCAATGATAGTTCTCAACCACTGGAATAATCCTAGTTCACCTACTGTCATGATTTTTGACTCAGAATGAATAGAGTGAGAAGGGCAGTAAGCCTTAGGAATACCACTCTTAAAGGATGTGCTGCAGAAGAGGAGCATGGGCTGATGGATGTGAGTGGTCACAGAGGAGTTATAAAGAAGCGGGTGGGTGTCTAGCATAAGATTTATTATGCTAAATAACCTCTTTTAAAGAACAGATATCTTATCCTTACAGGGGAAATTTTCTGTTTGCTGTTGATTTGTAATCTTTAATTTTATTTCATCTATTTAAATAAAAGATTTTAGGAACTTCTAAGGTGAGGTTTCAAGCATAAATTGAGAGGCAGTAAAATATCAGCTCAGGAGTCCGTTCTAGCTCTGGCTTTTCCTCCAAATGGCAAGTTTTGTTTACATCCCTGAACCTTCAATTTTTGTTTTGCTTTGTGTTTTTTTTTTCCAGTCTGGGAAGTAGTTAAGACAGTTGAACTACTAGATTGGCTTTTTTCTTACATCGATGTTTTGTTTATCTAACATCCTTTTAAAAACTTGGTTAATTGGAGATGCTCATTGTTTCCAAGAAATGAGTTGAAGTGTGCAAATCAGAATGAACTTAAATTGATTAATTTATTTGGGTAGGGGGTAGCAGAGGGAAAAGAAGGGGAGAGAGTATGTATCTTGAAGTTGTTAAAGGTGTTTGGTATGGTTTATTCCTTTTGAACTTCTATTTTTTTCCCACCTGCTCTCCTTGAACTTATTTGAGCCACAAGTTTTATATTAATTCTTCTTAAATTGCTTATGGCACTAGTCCTGTGAATCAAACTCTGGATGGGGTCCAGCAGTCTGTTTGAATGAGCATTCCAGGTGATGCTGATGTCAGCTAAAGTTTGAGAACCACTGATCTAGGGGATCCCTGGGTGGCTCAGTGGTTTAGTGCCTGCCTTCGGCCCAGAGCGTGATCCTGGAGACCTAGGATCGAGTCCTACATCAGACTCCCTGCATGGAACCTGTTTCTCCCTGTGTCTCTGTCTCTCTCTCTCTCTTTGTCTCTCATGAATAAATAACATCTTTAAAAAAAAAAAAAAGAGAACCACTGATCTAGTTGAAATTTAACAGTATTTCTGTGTTATCACTAGTGATAAATTATGACAGAAGTGGGTTAATGGTGGAAGGTAAGTTGTTTAAGAAACCAATAAAAGGAAAATTTCAAGAGCTTGGACAACACTTGCTGGGCTAATAGAGTTGGAGGAGATTTGTCATTGTTACTGTGATCCTTCAGATGAAG